ATTGTATATCAATTTCATAAACCCTTCGCTGCTAATTTGCAAACTTCGTTGCATATGTTGCATATGCAATTTTTGTCTTTAGTGCACTTTGATGTTTGGGACCTTGCTCATGTTCCTTCAATTAATGGATTTTTTTATTATATGATATTTATAGATGATTTTTCTAAATATACTTGGATTTATTTTCTCAAACACAAGTCAAGTGTGTTTAGTGTTTTTCAAGACTTCCATAATATGATAAAAAGTTAATTTGAGAAAAACATTAAAGTTTTTAAGTCTGATTCTGAGGGGGAGTATCTTTCCAATGAATTTCAAGCATATCTTCGTGCAAATAACATTATTCATCAATATTCATGTCCTCATACCCCATAACAGAATGGAGTTGCTGAAAGAAAACATCACCATATTCTTAACCACTCGTTCTCTTCTTATTAGCTCTCATTTCCCAAAGAACATTTGGGTTGAAGCGTTGTCTATCTTGTTAATCTTCTTCCTACAACGATTTTGCAAAATGTGTCACTATTTCAAAAACTTTTTCAAAAACCTCCTAATTACCCACAGTTACGTGTGTTTGGATGCACACGCTTTATGCTTTTATTATCTTCTACCCATGATATACTCTCACATAAGTTTGTCAAATGCATGTTTATACGTTATCCAACAAATCAGAAAGGATATCGTTGTTTTGATCATTTGTATTAGAATATCCCGGCATGTTACATTTTTTAAACATATACATTTCCACCAAACCTGCCCATACCCTAATTCAACCACACATGGACCTAAATTTTATTTGTTTCCTAGTTTTGATATTCCTCCTTCTCATTGTCATGAAAATTAGGGATTGCCACATTCACTAACTAATTCTGATGAGTCGTCTTTGTCAATTGCTGATCATGCATCACCTCCAGTTGTTGATCATTCTACCAATCCTATTCACCTTCAGCGGTCACTTCGAAAGCGCGTTCCACCTGTTGATCATAACTTACCAGTAGTTAGCCCATATCATACTTGTTCTCCTGTAACCATTACTAATACATTGTTTCATGAGTCATCTTCTTATTCTCAAGCATCTAATGTCCAATGCTGACATATAGCTATGAATGAAGAAATTGCAGCTTTAGAGGAAAATCACATTTGGGATTTGGTCACATTGCCCCCAGAAAAGCATGTCATTGATAATAAATAGGTTTATAAAGTCAAGTTACGAGCTGATGGCACTCTTGATCGATACAATGCCCGATTAGTTACTCAGGGTTATGCCTAGAAGCATGGCATCGATTATGAAGAAACTTTTTCTCTAGTTGCTAAGATGACAATTATTCGTACTTTTATTACACTCTCATCGATTCGTGAATGGCTAATATGGCATCAATATGTCAAAAAAGTATTCTTTAATGGCGAACTTCAAAAAGAAGTTTACATGCGTCAATGTAATGACCCTGAAGTTTGGGAACTGAAAACTAATGTTAATATTGTTGATAGAATTAAATACAAACAACAACAACAACAACAACAATAATAATAATAATAATAATAATAATAATAATAATAATAATAAAATAAATAAATATAATATAATACTTACATAAAGAAATAATTTTTGAATGAGAGTCCATCATACTAATATTATACCATGTGGGCTATTTACATAAGGTGGTCCATAAAAGACCACTCCTTATCTTACTCCTTTTAATTAATGTGTTAGCCTTCTCTTTTGTTACTTATAATATCAAAATTAACCGTGTTTGGCCCTCTCTTTTGTTACTTTTGACGTGGCAGGTTAGTATGCCTTCTCCCATTTTATATTATAATCTATTACCCATTTTATATTTTCATTTAATATTTTATTGACACCTCTTACTTGAGGTGTCATGAAAGTACCACTTTGTATAAAATAAATAAAAATAAAAAGTTTTAAAAGTTGATGGTTCATCACCTGAAGTGGCTAACTCAACAGCCACGTCCATGTAGTTTGGACTTTTGGTTGGAGCTTTATAGATTTTGGATGGTAGACCACCTAGAGTTCGGAGGACTATGTTACTTAGCATACCAGCCAAGCTTGAGGGGCTCCCCAACAGCAGTAGTATATTTTGGTAGATGCTTGTAGGGCAACGATAATTACATATCAGAGTAATTTAAAGAGTAAGTGATCGCATTCTTCTGAAAAATAGTTAGTTTTCAATAAAATAGTGATATTTCTATCCAACATCTTTATTTTATTAGTTTTATGTGTAAGTGAC